TGCACTTCACTCTCTCGATATATAATCTACTATTATTCTACATAAAACATGGAATAAAAAAAAAGAATATTAATTGAATTGACATCACATAGGTATTCTGTTTACAGCCAAAATTACAATAAAAAATTGCACGTGATACGTGATGATAATCATAATCTTGTTCAAACAAAAATGGCAAATTAACTCTTTATACATCTATAAGATGTCGATGAATACTAATTAGACAAAGTCTCAGAAAGTCACTATAATAAGCGCTAATCAGAATAGGAATTGAATAATGCAAATGCATCTTGTTTAGAAAGTATCTGATGAGTAAAGACCAGGCGCTAGGGGGGGGGGCGAGCGCCCCCCCTTGCCTCCCCCTCCGGACGCCCCTGTCAACATCAGTATGACACTGAGAAGTGTCAAACTATAAGCAGAGCACAACTCCCAAAGAAAAATATTTTGCATTTTCATATTGAGGACGGGAGCAGATTCGTTCCCGAAACGTCCAAAGATAAGTAAAAATTCGATATTTCTTCAATATATCTACAGGGTGTCCCTAGACCAGTGGGACAGTTAAATATCTTCTGAACCAATAGGAATTTTCGAAATATTATAATTCCACATCATATCGCATTATGAGTGCTAACTTCAGGAATGACTATATTTCATACGAGGGGCACAAGAAAGGCTCACAAAATCGAACATCAATTTTTTCAAATGGAACACCCTGTATTTCATTGCATTTTCATATTCTCCTCGAAGAGCTGAATTCAACGACCTAGCACACTTGGGGTCTAGCGGGAATGATTTCCGAGATATAGGGTGTGGAAAATCGAGATTTTTCATTTTTGGGAATTTTTTGTGTCAAAACTATTCATTATTGGTCAAAACGGCTTACATGTCCATATCTTAACTTTTGATTTACTGTTTACTCGTATTTAATTGAAACAAATACAGGGTGGTGTAGAATTCTGACTGAAACTGAGAATTCTACACCACCCTGTATTTGTTTCAATTAAATACGAGTAAATAGTAAATCAAAAGTTGATATATGGATATGTAAGCCATTTTGACCAATAATGAATAGTTTTGACACAAAAAATTCCCAAAAATGAAAAATCTCAATTTTCCACACCCTATATCCCGGAAATCATTCCCGCTAGACCCCAAGTGTGCTAGATCGTTGAATTCAGCTCTTCAAGGAGAATATGAAGATGCAATGAAATACAGGGTGTTCTATTTGAAAAAATTGATGTTCGATTTTGTGAGCCTTTCTTGCTCCCCCCGTAGAAAATATAGTCATTCCTGAAGTTAGCACTCATAATGCGATATGATGTGAAATTATAATATTTTGAAAATTCCTATTGGTTCAGGAGATATTCAACTGTCCCACTGGTCTAGGGACACCCTGTATATTTCATTCCTTCAAATATTTTTTCAAACAAAGTGTCACTGACGAGCTACTGGATTTTTCTTTTTTGGCTCCCTGATAGAAAAATTTTTTATACGCAGTGACATTTTGGGGCAAATCATCTGATTTGTCTCACTATAATAATAAGAATATTTTTTTTTATAGAAACGAGGAGAGAAAATCCCAAAAAATCAAGTAAAATGAAAGTTAATGTTGTTATAATATAGCTGAGCTGAACCCCCACCCCGAAAATAAAGCACGACTGAATAAAATCGTTTTTCCAGTCGATTCAGAGGACGAGTACATTGAAGAAGGATTTCAATAACATCCGATCCCATTTGGACGGGATAACTGGAAAACGTGAATTCCATAAACGGACTTCGCCTCGTTGGAAATGTATGAATCAACATCTGTGCGAAAACTCTGCTGACCGATTGGCGATGGCTAACACATAAATCCGGCATTTCCCCTGCAATTTGTATTCCTCTGACAGCTGCTATATGTCCGTCTGGTCTGGGACTGATCTCACTCTTGCATTTTTATGAAGTGGTTGATGGCCTCTGGACTTAAAGACAGAGGGTCAACAGAAAACTTGGGAAGCATCGAGCGGAAAATCGGAAGGAAGGACTGTTTGGAAGTGATTTCATCGAATGATAAATTGTGTTTGAATGGAGCCAGGCACTCCTAACCACCTGCAAATCGATGCTATGTCCGTCTGGTCTAGACTGATTTTACTCTTAAGTTTTTTACAGGGACACTACACTTTTTCTGTGGCTTCAATTACATAGTATAGTGAAATGAAACAACATGAAATTAAAATTTAAAGGGGCACTTTTGCTTTCAAATTGTTGAAAGAATATAATAGAAGATGATTTACCCCAAAATGTCACTGCGTCTTTTTTTTTATATCGCTTGAAGCGCACGAAAGGGAATCCCTATAATGTTCAAAGAACATCGTGCGTTCCTAGGTAGGGTAGGGATAGGAGGTAGGTATTGGAATTTTTTTGAACTTCTGGAGATTAAATGTTGTTGGGAATACTTCCCCAGGCAATGAATTCCAGAATCTAGACGTTCTATGGATGAAGGAGTTTTGATAAAGTGCTGTACGACATCTTTCGAGGTTGACAACGATAGGATGTGTTGACTGGGCTTGTCTAGTTCGTCTGACTGGTATTGCTAGTGAAGGGATGATAGCAGAGATTTCCGAAGAACATTTCCCGTGGAAGTATCGGTAGAAAAGTGAAAGGTCGCCGACCATTATACGGTGTTCCAATGATGTCAAAGAGTGAGTGAGTGTGGCGTCACCCACCAGGCGGATGGCTCTTCTCTGGATGGAATCTAAGAGCATAAGCGTATGTTTTGGTGCTGAACCCCATATGTGGGAACAGTTTTCTAGAACAGGCCGTATCGCGCTATGTAGATCATGAGAACCTGTTGAGGTGTAAAGTAGCTTTTCGTACGGAACAAGAATCCGAGTTTTTGTGAAGCAGTTTTTGCGATGGATCTGACATGATTATCCCATGAAAGAGTGTTGCTGATAGAAATACCGAGCATAGATATGGTGGGCTTGGTGGGGATGGTGGTGCCAGATATTACAAGAAAAATTCACCAGCTTGTCAGTGACAATTTGTATTGAAAAAAGATTGGAGAAGAGAAATAAAGGTATATAGAAGAAAATATCAAATATTCGAAAAAATGGTTATTTGAATAGCAAATTCGTATTTGTCTTGAAACTTTTCAGTTCTCAGTGACATTGGAGACGTTGGTAATCAAATGAGTTACAGGATGTTTTCATTAATTAATCTTGAATTCACCATTTTCATTTTCAGATTTCAGTAGTGAATACCATGTTCTATCTATTCCTTGATTTTTCTCTTCTGGTTGTTATCTTATTTTCCAATATGTTGTCCATGTTCAGCTAGTTTCGATTTGTCGATGTGTCTGTTCTTTATTATATTGTACTTATGTTCCTTCGTCCTTACTGAAAGAGGTCTCTTGGTTTCACCTGTATAAAACTTTCCACAAACACAAGGTATACTGTAAATACAATTGTGAACTAGCTGAACATATCCTTACTGAAGATGGACAACATATGGCAGAGTGGAATAAAATCAAAATCATTTGAAAAGAAGATAACAACTAGAAGAGAAAAATCAAGGAACCTGCTTGCATTATTCTTCTGAACGGAGACAATAGCATTGCTTCCTGTTCAGTTGATATAGATAGAACATGGTATTCACTACTGAAATCGGAAAATGAAAATGGTGAATTCAAGATCAATTAATGAAAACATCATATAACTCATTTGATTGCCAACGTCACCAATGTCAATGAGAACTGAAAAGTTTCAAGACAAATACGAATTTTCTAATCAAATAACCATTTCTTATGTTGAAAACGGGAGCAGATTCGTTCCCGAAACGTCCAAAGATTGGTGAAAATTTCATATTTTTTCTATATACCTTTATTCCTCTTCTCCAAACCTAATTCAATACAAATTGACACTGGCAATCTGGTGAATTTTTCTTTTAGGCTCTCTGATAGGAAAATATCTGTTCTACAACAGTATTATTTCAGTGATTTGAAATATTTGCGTGAACTGGTGTGAATAAATTTCTAAGGTGAGTACCAGTTACCATATCTGTGTATTATGATTTTCGATATTGGTCTATTTCAATAGTTGATACATTCTTTGTTCTGGTTCTTCAAAGAGGAAATTCATCAGATTTCATGCTTTAAATAGGTTCATGTCATGATAGAAGTGAAGCTTATTAAAATCTGCTGCAAATTTGAAATTTGAATGAAAATGTTGAGCACAGTATTTATTTATAAAATAATCACCAATTAGTGGCATCTTTCTAAAAGTCTGTACTTTATTAATGTTGAATGATATCTTATAATGTTAGTTAGTTGAATTCGTACTTACTTTTGGTACAGAAAACATACGGAGTTGCGGATTTTTATACGATCCGCATATATTGCAGCTAAGTATCAGTCCATGATGAAATATAAAAACCTAACACTATAAACCAAACAATCAACAAACCTACTAAGCAACAATTGAAGAATTAAACACTAATGAACAACAATTACAATTACAGGATTAAAACACTAAACACTTTATATCTCGTACGAATTTTCCGAATTTTCGAATCTAAATCGCTGAATACGAATTGACAGATGTCACTGACGGAATTCGACCACAGAACAATGATGGAAATAGATTCATCACTCACAGAACCAAGGTTTTGAACGATTTTCCGATTATGGCGCCTCTATCGTCAAATACCTGAACGAAACAATTGAAGAGTGAGTCCACCAGTTGAATTTCTATACATCTCTGCTGAGATACATGGGGGTCCCAGAATACAAACATTTTCAATGTCTCCCTTTATATTTCGAAAACGAAGTGAGTTATGAAAATTTCATTCGCGGAATCGTGAGTTTCATAAAAATAAGTGATATACCTAACCCGTAAGCAAATCGAAATGAGACAGCATGTACAATTACTCACTTCTGAGTTGTTGGGCTTGACATACAAGCATTTCTAAAATAGTCTTAGATTCTAAGAACAGAACTTAATTTTCATAATGTAGCTACATACCTGACGTGTGTGAAAAAAATACTGCCACTAGCAGGAAAACCCCCACATAAACAAACATTGTTTTATATCAGCGTTTTTATTGTCCTCAGGCTTTATTAGCCCTAAATCAAATGTACACACGAAGGGAATACTTTTTACTGACCGGCGAACTATATAGTTTTTTCATAAGGATTTCTGTGGAAGTGTAATATGCATTTTCACTTCTCACTCGCATATCATATCAAAACAAAGGCTGCCTGTTGATTGTTGACAGATGGTAGTAATAAAATGATAGAAAAAAAGTGCTAATGGATGGATGAATTATATTTGGATAATTGATTAGGTAATTCTTGTTGGTGTTCACTAAGCTCAGTACCATTATTTAATGATCGTATACCGGGTGACACAGGACACATGTAACATCCTGTAGTTTTTTTATTTGGGAAGTTGAAAATTTGAAATTCACAAGGGTTATATTATCGACGATGGCGCTTCCCTTGAACCCAATGACAATTTTCTTCAATCACCTGTTTGATCGGAAGTAGACCCAACTTTTTTCTTTCAAGCACCCTGTATATTTCTGTAGCCTTTCTTATCCGCCTTAAAATTCTCTATTCAACTATGAATCACAATTTGATAAGCGGAATGATACTGAAAATACACTAATGACTTATGAACAGATGTATTCGGATGATACATCAATTATTACAACAATTCCAGTTTCATGTATCCAAATGGATGATCATATTATGGCTACATGGCAAAAATGAAAGACAAATAGGTTCTTCACAAGTAGCCGAATGAAAAAAACTGAGTTTCTATCTTAGTTTTCTGGGTTATTCTTGGATGATTTTTTTAAACTCAATGAAATTATTGGCAATCTTTTGGGACCGATTAGGGTATGAAAAATATTCTGATAATTTCGTCTGAGTAATGATCTTTGAATTTCTAAGCCTATCAAGCATCGAAATGTCATTGTATTCGAGACAAAGCCAATTTCATGTATTTTAATAAAATGGAATTCAACAGCCAATTAACGAACGAATATCAAATTGTGATACATAGTTGAATGAAGAATTTCAAGGCAAATAAGATTGGCTACAGAAATATACAGAGGGTGCCATTCGAAAAAGAAAAGATGGGTCGACTTCCAATCAACTCCAGCGTTCCACAAAGATCAATTTTGGCACCAACATTATTCCTTCTTCATATCAATGATCTGTTGGGAGTAACAACTTGCCCCATCCACAGCTTTGCAGATGATAGTACCCTTCATACTGCGTTCTCTTCCAGAATTACCATTTCTTCCCAGGAAACTAAGTACACACGGCGCAGGCAGGTCAATGCTGTCAATGAAGACCTTGCTGAAATCACAGCCTGGGGAACCAACAACCTGGTTGAATTCAACGTCACCAAAACTCAAGCCTGTATTTTCTCTAGAAAGGCGGAACTCAGTATGCCCGATATTGTAATGTCTGGCACCACCATCCCCACCAAGCCCACCATATCTATGCTCGGTATTTCCATCAGCAACACTCTTTCATGGGATAATCATGTCAGATCCATCGCATCAGCAGCTTCACAAAAACTCGGATTCTTGTTCCGTGCGAAAAGCTACTCCACACCTCAACAGCTTCACATGATCTACAAAGCGCAGATACGGTCTGTTCTAGAATACTGTTCCCACATATGGGGTTCAGCACCAAAACATACGCTGATGCTCTTAGATTCCATCCAGAGAAGAGCCATTCGCCTGGTGAGTGACGCCATACTCACTCACTTTTTGACATCATTGGAACACCGTAGAAAGGTCGGCGACCTTTCATTTTTCTATCGATGCTCCCACGGAAAATGTTCTTCGGAAATCTCTGCTATCATCCCTTCACTAGCAAAACCAGCCAGACGAACTAGACAAGCCCACAGTCAGCACATCTTTTCGTTGTCAACCTCGAAAGATGTCGAACAGCACTTTATCAAAACTCCTTCATCCATAGAAGGGCTAGGCTCTGGAATTCATTGCCTGGGGAAGTATTCCCAACAACATATAATCTTCAGAAGTTCAAAAAAAATTCCAATACCTACCTCCTGTCCCTATCCTCCCTAGGAAGGCACGATGTTCTTTGAACATTATAGGGATTTTCTTTCGTGCGCTCCAAGCGATAAAAAAAATCAAACAGATGATTGAAGAAAATTGTCATTGGGTTCAAAGGAAGCACCATCATAGATAATATAACCCTTGTGAATTTCAAATTTTTATCTCTTCAAATAAAAAAACTACAGGCTGTTACATGTTTCCTGTGTCACCCGGTATTCTGTCAGTAGGTATATACCGGGTGATGACTCATGTATACCCCCTTTTCTCCTTTGTTTTTCTAGCAATATGTACATCGAATATGCTCAACTAGAGGACACTTCCCCACATTTGAGGAAATTTTTTGCATCTTCCGGTTTTTCTGGAAATGACATACAACTTTCGATTTTCAAATGGAACACCATGTATTTCATTCCATAATCGGTTAGGAATCATTATAACAAATTCAACAATACCGGGTATGATGAGAATACTGATACAAGTGATTCTTTCCTAAGTAATGCCTCTATTGTTCTCGATTCAGCAAGGCCACGCTAGACGCCTACAGACCGGTTTCGAGCTCTTTGACTCTCATCAGTGCAGGGCAGTCTCCAGCCAGCAATTCTAAGACCGCTATGAATGACTTCGTGCTATCTGGGTACTTCGAAGTTTGGAACCAACTCCTCAGAAGTCGAAACTTTGGCGTGGGATCTACAGCTTATAGTGGAATCCGAATCACTTCATGTTAATGAGAACTTTGTTTCTTAAAACGACCTAATGAATCACCCTTATTTATACAATAGGGCTAGTTTCGTACCGTATACAAGTTACATACCTTTTTTTGTTGTTGATTTTCGAAATTATTACCTCTAGAGTCTAGTTTATGCCGATTTCTAGAAAACACCAATAAAGAGAAGACATTGAATGATTTAATACCTGATCGAACAATAAAAATCAAATACGATATATTCGCTATCTATATATTTATATATTGTGACGATAAATATAAACCGTCTGTTAAACTTTTACTGGACACCAACAGTTAACAGTTATGTTTCGGTGGACAAATAAAGATCATGATAACAATAGCAGTTCAAAACGGGAGAAAGAATTAGCACAAGAGCAATAGATATTTCTTTGAAATAATAATTGGATTCTGAGTTTCATGACACAAATATTTACGCGGAGCTCAATGATCTCAAGAAGAAAAGAAAAATTGGCAATTCGTACTGAAACCTCTCCAGCAGAGAAACCCAAAGAATGAAATTTAATTACTAAGGGATCTGACTAACGCGTACATACAGTTCGCTCTTATTTTCAGAACAAATTATACAGTCTGTCCAAGATAAGGTTGCACAGCATGGGGATCTCGGAAACGGTAGGAGATACGAAGTCGGTTAAATGGGGAAAAAGTTGCGCATTCGGAGGCTCATACCAACAGCCTTCGAAAATTTTCAAAATTTTTTTTAGTTTTTCAGTTATATCGAAAATAGTGAATTTTTGGAATCTCTATTTTATTTTTTTTTCTCCGTTATTATTAGAGATACAGGAAAACTGAAAATACCTTTTTCAGCAACTTTTGATGACGTTTAACGTGGTGATACCGATTTTTCTATGCGACGTTTCGTATTCGTAGAACCATCATCAACTTTTGTTTTTCAAATACGGCCCTGATAATTCTTTCACAGATTCTGAAAGCTTTTTTTATTCTGAATTCAACCATGTATTATACAAGGTGGTTGGAATGTGTTTCGAACTATTTTTAGCCATCATCAATGTTTTTTTTGAAATTCCAAAGGAAAAATGCCATCAGTTTCACTTATTTCGATCGAAAATATTAGACATTTTCCTGTCAGGCATCCATTGATCTAAAGATGGAGTATACGAGGTGTTTTTGAAATAAGTCCACATATTCAGCATATTAATATGATACAGTCTAAGGAATATTAGTCATACATATGATATCAGATTTTTTCTAATTTATCTGATTAACTAGAAATTTCATCTCAAAAATTGAACAAATTTCATTTTGATCCCTACATTTTTTTTATTAGCGTCATTCGATAGTACAGGGTGATTCACCATAAATGTCCCCCCCCCTAGCTCAGTTATTCTTGAACCGATTTCAAAATTTGAAATATCATCTCAAATGATTTTCGATAAAGTTTTTTTCTGCTACATCAGAAGATACAGGGTGCTCGGAACAAACGATCTACAGGGTACTATTTGATTTTTTTTAATGAAACACTCTATTTTTCATTGTATTTTTAGATTCTCCCTGAAGAGCTGATTTGATCAATGTATCACACTCGGTGTCAAGCGGGAATGATTACAGAGATATAGGGTGTTCAAAATCGAGAATTTTCAACTTTAGGATTTTTTTGTGACGAAACTATTCATTATCAGTCAAAACGGCTTTCGATTTACTATCTACTGACATTTAATAATTGGAACAGATACAGGGTGATCAGAATTCTGAATCTTGAACCACCCTGTAAATGTTCCAATTAAATGTCACTAAATAGTAAATCAAATGTTTTAATAGGGACATGAAAACCGTTTTGACCAATGATGAATAGTTTCGACAGAAAAAAATCCTAAGGTTTGAAAAATCTCGATTCTGAACACCCTATATCTCTGTAAACATTCCCGCTAGACCCCAAGTGTGATCTGTACTCTGTAGATTGTTTGTTCCGAGCACCCTGTATTTTCTGATGCAACGGAATTTTTTTTTTTGAAAAATCATTTCAGATTATTTTTCAAATTTTTGAATCGGTTCAAAAATGAGTGAGCTAGAGGTGGGGACATTTATGGTGAATCACCCTGTACACGTCGAGCTTTCTCAGTGTTTGAAATATTTGCACCATTTACCATTTCAATGCCACCCATTGGTGAAAATTGAATAACTTTTTTCAATTTTTCCATTACAATTCTTCAAGTATAAGAATTGAGCTAATTCCTTCAAATGAGCACCCAAGTGGTCTAATTGGAGTTGAAAAAAAACTCACCCCGTATACAGAATAACCTAATCAATTATCCAAAAATATATTTTTCCGTATAATAATATATCCCCATATATCTTTCAATAGCACCCTCTTACGATCTGGTATTTTTTTTATGTCATCAAACCAACAAATTATATTCATGAAACATCGCGAAACTCTCGAAACTGAACTTGGGGTTTTCAGGCATGCTTTTCAGGAGGAGTTACAGCGCGGACTGAAATTCCTGAAATCAACAGGAAACACGCCGCAGAGAGAAGAATATTTCGTCGCACATGCTCCGTAAGATACCGAGAATAAATAGTAGTTTGAAAAAACTAAGAAAATACGCTTTTACAGGTAGCCAAACTGGAAAAAACAGGAGGAAAATAAATAATGAACTTGTGTTGATAAATACACGACATAGAAAATATCAGCACCTCTGTAAAATCATTAGCACAGTCAGAAATGAGCTATCTCTGCTTTGAAAAAAGTTTTGATTATGTCATCGGACCTTATGCTTTGTATTTTATGTATACCGAATTCAAAAAAACTCTCCGCTATCTGTCGAGATATCGACTTCATTTTGGTTTTGCGACCTAATTAGGCAGTTTTTCGACCCAGAAAAGTCATTGGCACAGTCAGAAATGAGCTATCTCTGCTTTGAAAAAAGTTTTGATTTTGTCATCGGACCTTATGCTCTGTATATCATGGTATAACGAATTCGAGAAAATTCTCCGCTATCTGTCGAGATATCTACTTCATTTTGGTTTTGCGACCTAATTAGGCAGTTTTTCGACCCAGAAAAGTCATTGGAACAGTCAGAAATGAGCTATCTCTGCTCTGAAAAAAGTTTTGATTTTGTCATCGGACCTTATGCTTTGTATTTTATGTATACCGAATTCGAAAAAACTCTCTGCTATTTGTCGAGATATCGACTTCATTCTGGTTTTGTGACCTAATTAGTCAGTTTTCGACCCAGAAAGGTCATTGGTACAGTCAGAAATCAGCTAACTCTACTCTGAGAAAAGTTTTGATTTTGTCATCGGACCTTACTCTCTGAATACCGAAGTCGAAAAAACTCTCCGCTATCTGTCGAGATATCGACTTTATTTTGGTTTTGCGACCTAATTAGGCAGTTTTTCGACCCAGAAAAGTCATTGGCACAGTCAGAGTTAAGCTATCTCTGCTCTGAAAAAAGTTATGATTTTGTCATCGGACCTTATATTCTCTGTATACCGAATTCTAAAAAACTCTTCACTATCTGTCGAGATATTGACTTCATTATGGTTTTGCGACCTAATTAGGCAGTTTTTCGACCCAGAAAAGTCATTGAAACAGTCAGAAATGAGCTATCTCTGCTTTGAAAAAGGTCTGATTTTGTCATCGGACCTTATATTCTCTGTATACCGAATTCGAAAAAACTCTCCACTATCTGTCGAGATATCGACTTCATTTTGGTTTTGCGACCTAATTAGGCAGTTTTTCGACCCAGAAAAGTCATTGGCACAATCAGAAATGAGCTATCTCTGCTCTGAAAAAAGTTTTGATTTTGTCATCAGACCTTATATGCTCTGTATACCGAATTCGAAAAAACTCCCCGCTATCTGTCGAGATATCAACTTCCTTTTGGTTTTGCGACCTAAATAGGCAGTTTTTTGACCCAGAAAAGTCATTGGCACAATCAAAAATGAGCTATCTCTGCTCTGAAAAAAGTTTTTGATTTTGTCATCGGACCTTATGCTCTGTATATGGTATAACGAATTCGAGAAAATTCTCCGCTATCTGTCGAGATATCTACTTCATTTTGGTTTTGTGACCTAATTAGGCAGTTTTTCGACCCAGAAAAGTCATTGCCACAGTCAGAAATGAGCTATCTCTGCTTTGAAAAAAGTTCTGATTTTGTCATCGGACCTTATGCTCTGTACCTATACCGAATTCGAAAAAAATCTCCACTGTCTGTCGAGATATCGACTTCATTAGGCAGTTTTTCGACCCAGAAAAGTCATTGACACAATCAGAAATGAGCTATTTCTGCTCTGAAAAAAGTTTTGATTTCGTCATCAGACCTTATGCTCTGTATACCGAATTCGAAAAAACTAACAACTATCTGTCGAGATATCGACTTAATTTTGGTTTTGCGACCTAATTAGGCAGTTTTTCGACCCAGAAAAGTCATTGACACAATCAGAAATGAGCTATCTCTGCTCTGAAAAAAGTTTTGAATTTGTCATCGGACCGTCATATGCTCTGTGCAACATTGACTATAGTAAATAGTACAATTTTTTCAATAGTTGAAAGCGACCTTGACCTTCTGATATCATCTATGGCAAGGTGAAAATGAACAATAATAAGCTGCAACAACAACAACAACAATAATATCATGGTAGTTGCAGTTGACATCGAATTATTTTGACAGTATTTGATACTTTGGATGCATATGTATGGACTAACTCCATAATGAAGTGCAATAGAATGATTTTATTAATGAAGTATCAACATTATTCTGGCTCACTCTATAACCACTTTCATTTATAACATGACACCCTGTATGTCTCAGTACTGAATTTTTCTGAAACAAAAGTAATAAAAACCAGATAATATCAACAACAAGAGATACTTTATTTACAACAAAATCACAGTTCAATATCCAATCAACAAATCCCAGGGACTAATCCAATCTAACAGCAAATGAGGCTCCACAAGAACACCCCTTCTCAGCCAAGGGATTACCAACAACCTTAAAAGCAGATCGAATCAGCTCCTCCTGGTAATCGATAGTCGCCCCTTTGATATAATCCAGAGAAATCGAATCCACCACCACTTTCACCCCATCCTTTTCGAACACTCTATCATCCTCTTGAACCCCAGAATCCAAATCGAACTTGTACTGAAAGCCAGAACACCCACCCCCTTCAACAGTCACCCTCAGGAAGTCATCGGGGGTGTTGGAGATCTTCTTCAAACGGTCTACACAGCTATTTGATATCAGCAGATCAGCTTTGACGTTTTCCAGGGGTTGGACGTTGGGGTTGGTTTTGATAGGGGCTGCTTGGACGTTGAAAGCATACCTGGGTAAAGGTTTAGCTAATTTGCGTATTGCCCGAGCGAACATGACTCTGGAGAAGACAAACTTGCTGCTCAAAATTTTGTTTATTATTATGCCATTTTCCTATTTACTTATTTTGAAGTTTGCATAACCCAACTTTCTCGTCTCGTATCATATCATCTGTCCTGTCAGCTATTATGGTACTTTGCCCCAATGTTCTACATAACCTCTTCTTCTTCGACTACTCAGTTTTTGGCATTATCTTATATCACATTATCCATCAGCCCATATGGTACTTTGCCACTTTGCCAGCTATTTTCAAAAATCTTCAGTTTTTTGATGACCTTCGTGATATATGCATAATATATTTATATCTTCTCCTCGACAATGCGAATCCTTGCTTTTTATTAGGCATTTCTTATTCAAAGGCACATTTACGTATGTGTGTATAATCTCTGGTATGATCAAAGCTTACAACTCATTATGTAGGTCCCTTCCAAGGGTCCTTTCTCCATTTTGATAATTTCAACCTACAAGCTTGTGATATGCAATGAACTGGATATAAACACCTATATTGAGTTTATTGGTGATATGAGATATGAGCGTATTTAGCCAGGTTCGTTATTTAACATTATTGAATTCTTCTTCTTCTTTATTAGCACTTGCACCTTGTTGGTTTTGTAGAAACTGACAAGACAGAGACCTTGCTGTTGGGGTATTGAGTCAGCTTTTTCTTGTTGCTCCTCTCAGTAACAATGATGGAAGTAAGATTTCTTGGTGACTAACCTACTATCTGAGATGTTTATTATAAGATTTGACATAACACTGGCAAACATTAATTTAAGATAGGATTAAAAGTAATAAAAGGTATAATGGACATTGATGTAATAGTTATGATGCATTATTTTATTATCAACACATATAATACAAATTTTTATAACAATAAATAAGATGTATTCAAAAAATAATTATAGACTTTTCAAAGTCTTCTGAGTAGGTTTAGGTACTAAAAACTAAAAATACTGATTGAATGTTGGGTGAAAAATATAAACCAAATAATATGGGCACAAAACTACTGATTTTATGGTAGTTTTTTTTAATTACACTTGAAAAAACTCCCAAAACTTCATCATTATATCTTTTGGCCACAACAGATTGAAATATATTTATGGTACAACATACAAAAATATCCGTTTTAATCGAATTATTATATGTTATAATAGGCGTCAAAACTTAGAAATCAGCAAAAATAAAAAAATGAGTGGTTCTTAAGAAGGTTCTTAATGAAAATTCAAAAACATAGGAAATCAGTGTTTTGAACAACAATTTATAGAAGACTTTAAATAATTTATTCCTAATTCCAATATCTTTCTAAAATGAATCATTTTGTTTGTTAGTTATAGACAGTCGGAATATCTTCAAAAAGCTAAAAATGGACAGTTGTTAGACGAAATACAATTTTTTACTGATGTACATCAGAAACGACCAAAAGTTTTCAAGACATTAATTCAATTTTAACAATTTTCGAAAAATAATTCGACTATTTGAAAAGCTCGAGCACCGCAACTGCATACTTATTCTTGTCAACGCATCGCCCTGTAGATAGTTCTTGAGCAGCTTCTCTTCTTAGGCGGAATAACACTTTTTTTTCAAAATAAATATATAACAGCACCTAGGTATATGTTTATATAGTTACCTAAAAATAAATAACTCCGTTTTTAAATAGAGGTCATTGGGTTACTAAAATTATTGAATATTTTTTCCCATGAACAAACAATATTATACCTCAGAACTTTTTTGTCAATATCCGCAAGAATGTGTTATAGCATTTGGTTATCACAGAAAGGAATTAACACAAAAACATATGAAAAATGAGCTTTGCATAACAATCTGTGGAATACAAAAATGATCTACCAGAATGAGTATCTTCTCAACATAAATCATGTATATTTGATTGAATCTAGACATGCACAATACCTCCAGGAAAAAAATACAGAAATGGACGAAATTGTCAAATAAAATATCATTTTCATTGGTGTACAGAAACGCTCGAATCGATTTGCTCAATGATTTCAACATACCTTCTCAAAAAAAGCTTGAGCACCAATCATTTGTTTGCATAATAATTCGTGTATTACTAATAATGATCTATCCGAATGAGAATCTAAGGCAGATGATGTATATTTGATTGTATCTAGACATGCTCAATACCTCCAGGAAAAAACACAAAAATGGACGAAATTGTCAAACAAAATATCATTTTCATTGGCAACGCTCAAATCTATTAGCTCCATGATTTGAACAAACCTTTTCGAAAAGCTCCAGCACCGAGCGACCTTCTACTGTTTGGCCCAAGCCAACGCATCGCCCTGTAGATGATCTTTGAGGAGTTTCTCGCCTCGGGCCAAGAGTTCCCCGAAATTAACACAAAAACATATGAAAAATGAACTTTGCATAATAATCTGTAGAATACAAAATTGATATCTACGAGAATGAGTATCTTCTCAACATAAATCATGTATATTTGATTGAATCTAGACATGCACAATACCTCCAGGAGAAAAATACAGAAATGGACGAAATTGTAAAATAAAATATTATTTTCATTGGTGTACAGTAAACAGAAACGCTCAAATCGATTCGCTCAATGATTTGAACATACCTTCTCAAAAAAAGCTCGAGCACCAATCATTTGTTTGCATAATAATTCGTGTATTACTATAATAATGATCTATCCGAATGAGAATCTAAGGCAGATGATGTACATTTGATACCTCCAGGAAAAAAACAAAAAAATGGACGAAATTGTCAAACAAAATATCATTTTCATTGGCAACGACGCTCAAATCTATTAGCTCAATGATTTGAACAAACCTTTTCGAAAAGCTCCAGCACCGAGCGACCTTCTACTGTTTGGCCCAAGCCAAAGCATCGCCCTGTAGATGATCTTTGAGGAGCTTCTCGCCTCGGGCCAAGCGTTCCCCAAACTGGGACACTATCGGGTCCATGCCGCAAGAGCTAGTTGCCACTACTTCGCCATTTTCCAAGTAAAAGGCGACGAATTTGAAGTTTTCCACGCTGCCATGGAGAATTATTTCGTCGTATTTGCCGTGGCCGCAATATCTGAAAGGAAGTCGTAACATTTCCTAGTCAAAGACCGCTATACAGGGTGTTTCGGACTTGAATGTACAGGCTGCCCCATTTTCAATGTCCGCACGGGATATCTCACTTATCAAACGTTAAGATTTCTACAAAATTCTCAAACACATGTTTCGCTAACACAGTAGCTTCGTCAGGTGATATACTGGTACGATGAACTAAACTAACATTGGCTTGCTTATATATCCTACTTTCCCAACCTGAAGGAAAACTATGAGTAGTTAGTGAATTGGGCGTCCTGATTCCGAATCCAAAACGATTTTCAACTTATTTTGACTCCCAATATCATTTTCCGGAAATTGGGGTGGTTCCATGGCTGTTGGCGAGCAGTGTATATCACTGAAGATAACCTCACTTGGTCATAAAGTGCATTTTTGGTATATCTCTCGCTCCAGCAAATTTCAGGATCCTTACCCAACGATTACGGGGTGTTTCCATTAGAAGTAGGTCACACTGTATATATACTTACTCACGATAACGCTAAATTTTCTTGCTTCGTTCTTGAGATACAGAGCAAAATTGAAAAAGTTGCATTTTTTGACCCTCTTGTATTTCAGCTATCTTTCAACTTATCGAAAAATTAAAAACTGTTTCTCATACATTTTTTTTAACGTCGAATCCAGTGGCTTAGTCAGATTTTCATAATAAACTGTAATCATTCATATAACCCATAGTTATGTTTTTTTAAATTGATCACCCTGTATATTTTCTTATACAGGGTAAGTCATGAGGCACTGTACATAACCCAACCACGAATAGAGGCTCCTGAGGGAAATACCTAATGTCAAAACAGAAAGTGTCTTTTACACTTCTTTTTCCAATATATAGTGTGAATTATGAGATTTGGCAAAAACATCTTTTATTCGTTCATCTTTAATTATTCATATTTTTTATATTTTTGTGTACCTCACAATAACTGATAAGTTACTATCAATTGTATATAAAATAATTTTCCTCACGAAGTCAGAAGTTTCGAAAGAATTGAAATATTTCATGGTATAGTTGAATGTTTCCTATTACAGAATAGTATATTGTTTAACGAGCACGGAATGATAGTGATTTCCTACGAGATTGAAGTTTGCAGCACGAGCCATAGGCGAATGCTGCAATCATTTGAGTAGGAAATTAGTATTCCATGCAAGTTATACACTATGATTTTCCTACGGCAATAATACACTCAGTTCCAAAAAAAGTGACGCACTTGATATTTGACTTTGATTTAAAGAGGTGGAAATTTTTTCAAAGCCTCCTTGATGGTGGTGGAATGACTCAAACCATGATTATTTATTCTTTATTTTTGACACACCCTGTGTGTTAATTGAGTAATGGTATACAAAGTGCTTACACCCTATACGAAAAAGGCTTCTTTTGCGAGCATTTTGTTTTTTTATTCATTGATTTATCTCTAAAATTTTCCGAATTACAGCTTTTTTGCTGATACCTTACGCTTATCCCACAAATTGAATTTATTGAAGGATCAGAGTACTCAAAATTGATTGGGTTGTACTCTGGTAGGATCACATTGTCTTAAAAAAAACAAATGCCGTTGCCATAGCAACTAATTTGTTGTATGCCTCCATATTTGACCATTTGTCGTTGTGTCATTAATTAAGTGTCTTGTTTTATTGACTGAAATTACATTAAATGCCTCAAATAAATCCTGAACAAGTATCACGATTAGTTGCGTTAGTAAACGTTACGCCGCTCGTGCAGTGGGAGTTCATGAAGCAACTGCTTGTAGAGCAATCCGCAAGTACGAACAAACAGGAAGCACCGCTCGGAGGGTCGGCTCTAGTCGCCCCCGAAAAACTTCTCCAAGAGATGATCGCTTCTTGAGATTGCGGATTTTACGGAATCGATCAAATTTTCAGCAATATCTTCGCCAAATTCGTGATGTTGCAGTAAGTAAGTAGACAGTATGTAGGCGTCTAAAATAAGTTAATTTAAAAGCTAGGAGACCTGCAAAGGTTCCAAATTATTGCCCGAACATCGTGATGCTAGAAGAAATTTTGTTGAAAATTATGGACATTGGAATATTCCTGAATGGTCGAATGTCTTGTTTACGGATGAGTAAAGGTTTTGCCTTAACATGGTGGATGGAAGAAATAGAGTGTGGAGAAGAACTGGTGAACGGTTTAATCAAAATTTAATAACAGAATGCGAAAGTTTCAATGGTGGGTCCGTTATGGTGTGGGGAGGGATTTCAATGAATGGAAAGACACCCCTTCATGTTTTTCCGGTGAGGCAGTCGATGAATGCCCAAATTTACATTGACATTTTAGAGCAGTATGTCTTACCTTATGCAGAGTTAGTGGGCAATAATTTAATATTGATGCAGGATAATGCCCGACCACACACCGCAGCAATAGTGCGAAACTTCTTAGAAGCTACTAGTATTACCACATTACAATGGCCTGCGAGAACCCCCATATGAATCCTATAGAACTTTTGTGGGATGAATTAGGGAGAAGGGTACGTTCTTGCGAGAGGTCACCGGAAAGTCTCGCAGAAATGGCAAATGCATTAGTGGAAAAATGGGATCGTATACCAATGGAAACGATAAGCAACTCGTAGATTAGAAGTTCTTAGAGTTGCTAGAGGAGGCAATACACGGTATTAAGCAGTCATCCCAATTTATAATTTTTTGTTTAATAAAAATGTTTTTTAAAATTATTGGTATCAGTTTATTTCATTAGAAAATTGTTTCTCGATAAATTCAGAAAGTTGGTAATCTGCAAGGATTCAGCAAAAAAAGCTGTAATTCGGAAAATTTTAGAGATAAATCAAGGAATAAAAAAACAAAATGCTCGCAAAAGAAGCCTCTTCCGTATAGGGTGTAAGCACTTTCTATGCCATTACTCAATTAACACACAGGGTGAGTCAAAAATCAAGAATAAATCATGGTTCGAGTTATTCCACCACCATCAACGAGGCTATGAAAGAATTTTCACCTCTTTATTCTTTTTTTAAAGACAAATGCATTACCTACCAACAAATAATAATCGGCCTATTTTTTTTTTTTTTTTTTGAGAAGATAGGTCAAATATCAAGTGCGTCACTTTTTTTGGAACTGAGTGTAGATAACAGCGGCATTTTCGATTTCTTCGTCTTGTAGCCATCTGATTTCCTGCCAAGTAATGCTCATCTTTTAGACAGAGCTGTCATTGCTTCACATTTGACATTCCATGAGCGATGAGATTTTTTTTGAAATAATAACACAATGGAGTCATTGTGATATCAGATACGGAGATGATATTGATGACATACAAAGTACCTCATTGACGTATCGAACACAGTAAAACAGAGTAATTTTGTGATATAGCCGTAGAAAAATCATATTATAGTTACCTAACAAAAGTTTTTGAATGTATTTTAATTGTGCTGATCTATATTTTCTTTCATTCATTATATTCCTTTTTTCACATCATACTTTCGGACTATTTATACATTTTAACTACATATTTATCATGTTTTTAGACATTCCATATGTACCAAATGTATCAAAAATGGTAAATATTATTATTATCATTATTAGTACCCACCTGACACTTTTTCCGAACAGCATCGTCCAGAAAAACGGCACCGTTCTCAGCTGCGTCTCCTTTCCCAGAATATTCATCGCTGCCACTTTCCCATGGTAATGGGCCAAAGGAAAATGCCCGATGGCCGATTTCTTACCACCGTGTGACCAAACGGGCGCGTACGCGATATCCCCGCCCACATACACTTCGGGAACGTTCGTGCGTAAGCGCTCGTCCGTCTCGACGGTACCGTCGGGACGCATCGAGACGCCGGAGTTCTTGAGGAAATCGGTGTTGTAAGTGCTGCCGACGCCCATGATTACCAGGTCAGCCTTCAAGGTAGTGCCTACAATTATTTCAAGGTGTGATTGACGTTTTTGAACCTGTAACTCCTAGCGATACCATATGGTAACATCAAGGATTCGACATTGTGGATTGATTATTCAAACTTTGTGACAACAACATTACAGTGTATTCTCTGATGATTGATTTATTGAGCAAAAATAACAATGTTATAGGTAATGAGCAGGTTTCCAACATTCAAATTTTCATTCCTCTGTATAGTGGGAGAATTCATTGAACACATATATTTTATTTTTGTCGTGCGATCAAATTTTAGTTGAGAAAAAAATCGTGAAGATATAGTTCAGGCTCCTCCATCATTTTTAGACGTACTAAACTATAGTAAGGGTAGAAATCGGATTATTTCTTGAAATACCTGATTAAATGGGGGTAATCGAGAAAATATAAACATTAGAATAGCATAATAGTTGACGATTATAAAATTATGGGGATATACAAAATAACAGTGATGCTGGCAGCTCGTTTTTGAAGTTGAACATTAGAATATTGGTGGACGATGACTTCACTTTGTTACAATTTTTGTTGACATGCATCATCATATACTACAGGCACGAATTCAATACTATACCCGAAACGTGGATGCCAAATAATCCGTGTGGTGAGATTATTCTACTTGCATTTACAGATCAGGTTTATTCAATTTTCAAAGATGTTCGAATTGTAGTTTCAATATAAATACAACCACAGATTGACCCATTTTTGTATTCAATTGAATCGATGAATTCATACCATGATTTGAACCAGGTGCCAGCCCTAATAGCAAATACCGCGCCAGTGCCAGGTATGGGAAAAAGAAGTGGAAAATGTTAGGTTAGTGAGCATATCAACAATAATAATAGCGATTATTTATTTCTCTCCATATTCCACTGTGTTTGGCTCGGTAATCAAAAGAAGTCAAAACTATATCGTTGTGTGAGACAAAAAATTATTGCTGGCCGTGATTATTCAAAAACAAGTTATCCAATCAATCAGATCCCGAGAATGAATGAAATACAGATCAACCAAGTATGTGAATCTTGAAGGCTTTCCTGATCAAAATAAAAATACTTATAGTTAACTATAATATGGTGTATTTTATCTCCAGTATGGGATTAAAATGCCAAATCAGCCGGAATTGGGAACAAATCAGGTACGCGTCCCAACTATGATGAACTTAAGATTGATATGAGCAGCCACTGAAAGGACAGCTCGTCCATCAGCATAGCTGTCACTTTTTTGACCTTGACCCAACAGAAGTTGGCCATCTCGGCTGAAGCCTCAGGATATAATGTTGATCCTTGGATAATGATGATATTCTTTACTACCTTGATGTATAAATAACTATTCTTCAACTTTCGAATTGAGAAAGTTGCACAGATATCTAGTAAATTCTCCCCATTTCTATACTATGTTGTTTATTCTTGATGACCTAGTAAATCCTTTTTTGTTTCTAGGAGGGAAAGTTTAACTTTTGCTCCTAGGAACTAAAGTTCAACTTTAGCTCCTACTAACTAAAGTTCAACTTTAGCTCCTAGGAACTAAAAATGTTGCCTAGTAACATACCAATGTTTGTGTCAGTAATAGAAACGTCAATTATGGGCTAATTTTCGTATAAGAATGAACGACTTTTGTGTCGGTTGCAGAAAAACGTAATTTTTTTCAACTCTGCTCGAAATTATACTCACCATCGCACAACTCCACTCCGACCACCTTCCCATTCCCATCATCGGTCACCCGACTCAAACTGTTATTCTTCACGAAATGCACGCCCTTCTGCTCGAACAGATCCAAGAAAGCCTTGCCTATTTCAGGCCCGAGCAACGGCTGGAAGGGCAGCTCGCCTCTCAACACGACCGTCACTTTTTTCACCTTGCCCTTGCAGAAATTCGCCGCCTCCATGGCTATGAAGCTGCCGCCTACTACGACAAGTTCTTTGTCTTCGGAGAGGACGGAGAGGGTGTATCTTCGAGGGAGAGAAAAAACGAAAAACTGAACAAACCACTATTTATTAAGATATTTAACAAAAAAAGGAAAGGAATTTTGAATTGTTCCGCCTGCCTTCGATACGCATTTACAACTATCACACCAGCTGACGACTATTAAATTATCAAAGACATACACTGCATGTCAAATATGCAAGAATTCACTCTCACCCTCGGTAAAACGAAACTTTAATTATTTTAATAGTGTTCGGTTGAACTGCTTGCCTGTGAAAGTTCCAGCTGTAGTCTTGCGTGCTAATCAGTATCGTTCGTGGGCAGTCTTGTAGGTTTGATTTGAATAGATCCGGCTCGAAGGACCAATATTTTTGAAGCTTGATAGTTAGTGGACTGTATTCGTATGGTTATATAATATATATGATAATGAAATAAATATTGATATGAGCAGCGACTGAAAGGGCAGCTCGTCCATCAGCATAACTATCAATTTTTTGACCTTCGCCCTGCAGAAGTTGGCCATCTCGACTGAAGCCTCGGGATATAATAATGATCTTGGATTTTTGAATATTACTGCTCTGATAATTCGATTCTCAAGCCTTTTTCTTTCAAAATATGTAAGAAAAGAATTTCATTATCTGCAAGTTCTTCGTTTCTTGTTAGTTCTAATTTGGAATAAAGTTTTTTCGATACTCGCTCAGTTTGTAAATTGTGGGCTCGGCTCTTTCTCTCAATACGATCCTATTCTTCAACATCAAATCTTCCCTTCTGAAATGTACCTGATGAAAATGCGAAATTTGAGTACCTCGCAAATTATGTGGACTGAACCTATATTCTATGCCGGCCGCATCATATTCTGTTTCCATTTTTGTAGAATTACTTTATCCGATGGAAATTGGTATAGAGTGAATTGATTTCCCGTGTTCTCACAGTTGTAAACTGCACAAACTCGCGTATTTCTCCTAATCCTCCCAATTTGTAAAACCTTCAATATTTATGTCATGTACGTCCGTGTACTGTCAGTTCCCGCTTTTCCTATCAATTTATTTGTGGTTATGTCTGATTGTCAGTGCTTGTCATAGTGTCCGTACTCTAATATACAAAAAACGTCAAAACAGCAGTGTCAAGTACATTTAAGAACTCTGAGCAAACCTAGAGGAAGGGAAGAAAACTTGGTTGTGGATGTATCAACATTAAGGTTCGATAACACAGCAGCCGCGAATGTCAATTTTGTTTGGCGCAGTCATAAGTAAGTCCGAATAATGCTGTTTTATACACTTTCAATTGAAAGAATACTTACTCAGCATGGGCGTAATCTCTCAACACGATGACATCCTTCAAATCTGCCCCGGGAATCTCCAGTTTCCTTGGACGACAACCTGTCGCGACGAACAGTTTGTCGTAATGCAAAGTATTTCCTGTGCTCAAGGTCACAGTTTTCACTTCGGTGTCGACAGAGGTCGCCTCAACACCGCGCAGTACCTCGATGTCGTACTGCTGGTAGAACGCTTCCTCCCTGAACTGGCCTTTCTTGATGTCGAAGTCCATGGCTTTGCTCACTTTCACCTGACAAACAGTAGGTAACAGGTGACAACTGATATACAGTGTCTTTCCGAAACTCGGCATTCAAAATTCTATATTAATATTTCAAGGACGTACTGTTGGGATCAAAATAAGAATTTTTCTTCACATGAACATGTGTTCCTAAATTCCATCCATCTAAGTGTGGACTCCCCTTGAACTCCCCCTAAACTGGGTTTACATGATTTTTGAGGCAAGAAGAAGTTATTTCTTCAACGTTTCATTGCAACTTTTAGATTTTGATATGTTTTTGATACCCTTATAGGAAACAGTTGAAAACATTCTTACCTCGACAAAACTGTTTGATTGAAGTAGCTTCATCGTGCTACTATCATTCAGTTACTAATTATCGACAAAAGTACGATTTTCTTTAAAAAATGATGATCCCACTTCAAAGCCACCGTCAAGCATTCAGGAGTGGAATTCATTTGAATGAATTTGTACTGAAAGGATGCCAAAGTCATCGTATCTCACCAAAGTTTAGGCCATTTTTCATCTATTTCAAAGCGAAACGTCCAATTCGAATTTGCAAAATGCATTGTGAACCGTTTGTGGACTAATGCAACAGAGACTGTTTCGGCTTGCCAAACCTCATCAGTTGCAATGGGCAGCTGACAATGTATCCCCGAAAGAAACTTCAATATATAGGGTTTAGAAATGAATAGAATGAAATTTATTCAAGATAGGATACCTCCTTATATCAACAGTTTCAATAGAAAAACAACGACACATCGCATAACACTAACGATTTCTTGATTGAATTTACAAAAATGAATTCATTATGTTTTCGAGCTTCGTTTCAGAGATAGAGATAGAAGATACAATTTTCTTGTTCCACGCGTTTGTTCGTATCTTGCTTAGTTATCAAGAAAAAATGTAGGTCGATTCAAGACATCCATTGAAATTACTTGATACCCATAATGCCCAAAATGAGTTTAATTTGGAGATTTTGAGAATTTGTCAAACACCGACCACACTGAATTTTGGCACTATGAAAGCTTATACAGGGCGATAATGAAGAAAATGCAAATAATATTTCTAATGTCAACACCTTGTATCTTCAAAACTTACAAGCCTTACAAGTTTATATAATGTTTTTTTCAATTTTGATAGTACTACCGCCTATCAAATTTTTCCGATTTGATTCTGACCCTGTATATGCTACAAAGCAGAATTTTGATGGTGATAAGGATACGTTCTAGCGATACCTTGCGAATAAGTTTCTATCGATTTTGACTGGTGTCACGTGATCACTAGTATGGAGGCAAATTGAATAGACAAAAAGTGAGGTTGGATGGCATTATATTGGAATTTGGAAGAGCTGCTCAAAACTGATGTTATACTCATGTATCAAGTTTCAACCAATTTTTTGGTTCTGCCGAAATCCAAAGTAGTATTTTTTCCTAGAATTTCAACCTAATCCACCTGGCAAATCAATATTATTTTTATTAGTCAGCATTTTATTGGCAATCTATGGAGTATGTATTGCATGACATGACAATTTCGTAAAACATGATAACAAACCAACATTAAAGATAAGGACTATAAAAAAACACCTATTAACATAAAAGGTTTCTTTAGTTTGATATTGTTGGTTCATATGCCATAACTTGAGTTCTCATTCATAGACATGAAAAATATGAAGAGCTTTTTTCGTATGATGATATACTGGAAGACCAAGATCTAGTACACCTCGTGTATTCTTTGCTGACTAGAAAATTCAAAGGCAAATCAATTTCACTTTTGGCAAATTTCATCAAATTTGTTTCACTAATTTCTGAACTGCGTACAAAAATGTGTTTTCCTATGTGTACTTTGAATCCTTCTCACTGACAAACGGTACATTTTCGCACATAAATAAATTGGGTCCAATCAATTTATTTTGACCTCCTCTACACGTGGTAGCTCTGTGTCCCAGCAATTTTGGGACACCCTGAATATACCGAGAATAAAATAGATCATTGGATAGATGGTTATATAATTTTAAAGGCAACTTTCTGCTATTAAAGTAAGTCTATGAGGTGGTAATATAATCGTCGACGTAGATCTTACAGATGTTTCTTTTCACAAAGATAACACTTTTAAGAATATATATGACTGTTAGAATGCCTAGTTCTAGTTCCTTGAATAAGTTTTTGCAGGAGTCAGTTCGATGTTTAATAGTATATTATGTAACAAGTGTTATAAACGTCCTTTTAGTAACGAGTAGTTTAAGCACGAGCGGAGCGAGTGTTTAATAAACGAGTGTCTAAAAGAGTTTATAAACGCGTTACCTACATACTATGATTTTTCTACGAACTCCGGAAATTACATCAATATACCTACAAAATAATTCGAAAGGAATGGGAAATGAGAACATAATACATGCAACTGCATGCAACCAGCGAGTCACGTGTAAGTGATATTGGTTGTAAATGTGTCCAGTCCATTGCTTACTAACCTTTGTTTCACGTTCATTGTCATGCTTAGAGCAGAATAAATAAATTGTTCTCAAAGATGGATGCTTCATTTTTACACTTCTTGGAGATATGCAAGTACCAGAACATTCTCTCCGATTTCACTTTCGTCTACTTGTCGCATATATTTTTAATGACGAATTCTGATACAAACGAATATTGTTTGAATAATTCTGATACAAAATTTGAAAATAAAGTTGACAGTTAATACAATATTGACAGGCCAGACATGTCTCAACATACTGAAGCTGTGTTTAATGAACTGCGTTGCCATGGTAATGTGTTTAAGAAATCGTGTTGCCATGGTAACGTGTTTAATATTTTGAATAAATCACAGATCGATAATCCGTGATTAATCGATCATTTAACGTGGTACATATCCGTACGCTAAATGCCATTTTAGTTATGTGAGTAGAAAAAAAGTTATTGTTCGCAGAACTATTTTTGGAATATTAAGAGAGATTCAACTGTCTTTGAGTTTTCCCAAATTGTTATTGAATAAAGATAAAGTAGAGTTGATATATGAGTGGTAATACGTGAGTAGAAAATTTCAGTCTACAAATTGTCTCAATCTAGAAAGTACAAAGCAATGGGATGAGACTTTTTTTGCTATGTGATCAATATGAGAGTACCAATTTAAATGTGAATCCATATCTACTCAAGAAATTTGACAACATTCAATTGACAAACAGTAGAATTTTCAGATCTGACTAATAAACTGTAGTTCAATTTTGAGGCAGAAAACTGTGAGAGGTCAGTTTTCATAATGTTCAGTACTAAGTGATTTTTCACACTGTAGTCATTGGAAGCTCTCACGTAATTAGTTGAATTCTGGCTGAAGCTGCTGATACAGCTATAAGCCACTGCTGAGAGGTCATCAGCAAACAGAGAAGATTGACCATCACTAAAACAGCATGGTAAATCATTCACAAAATAATGAAGAGTAAAGAAGAGTAGGTATGTTGATAACCAAAATGACAAGAACATATAAATTAGAGTATCAAATTATGAATTCTCTTATAAAAATATTAATATTTCAGTAATAAGTGTGTCGATTCCAAAACTTCCAAAAATGTTTCGAGAAAACAGGTGGTGCGATATGTTCTTCACCTCAGAAAAACTTTGAAAAACTTTCCTTCCAAACGGGAGCCCTTTGAAAAACAACACGGAATATGAAACACCCGGTAGAACTATGAATCTGCGTACAGCCTTTTTTTTATAATTATTGGTGATTTCTAAACCAACTGGAAAAAATCAAAACAGATAATACAATAATTATTGAAATTAATTATTATCGAATCCTAGTAAGGTATTGAGTTATTTCAAGTTCATGCTAGCTATCCAAATCGAGCCTCTGCAAATTGTTGTAATGATTACTTAATCAACTAAAATGAATTGACTTTGTACCCGCACTTCGCAGCTGTGGCTATCCCAAGGTCGAAAATGTACTGCATAGCATAATGCCATTGCCTACCTACAATGTAGTAGGTAAACGAACCTATTTTCTCGTTTTTTTTTTCATAAACCCAATCATCATTTATACAGGGTGTTTCTTAAGTACGTGTAGAAATGTCCGAAAGTTATTCGTTTCTGAGATACAGAGTGTCAGAGTTGAATTGTTATTTTTGTTTTCTGTTAATAAGTTTCAATATAATTGTGATATTCGAATGAAGTTTGGTATCTAGGGGTATTTTTAATGACAATATCAAATTTTATATTAGTTTATCTCTTTCGTGGGGGTAGTGCCACCTACGTTTTAACTTTAGTAGACCAGTAATGGAAGGAGAAGCAGTTCTCCGTGCTAATCATGTGATTTTGTGTGAGGCAGAAGACTTCAATAAAAGGCACATTTTTGCACTTTGTCTACAAACTTCGGCGATGAAATCTTCCCCACATGAAGTAAAATTGAAGTTGGGGTCCAGAGGAACTCCTGTAGAACAATGGATTTGTATTTGTTCCTGCAAAGCAGAACAATCTGGGTATTGTAAACATGTTGTAGCTGTTCTTTCATATGTCAATTGATTTGCTGGTCATAATTAGTTTGAATTGTTTGAACTATCTCCAATTCTTCACCAGTTCACTGTTCACTAAACTAATAAAAATGTAATAATGTAAAAAAAATTAACCAACTCAATCATCATCACTACCAACAGTGTCAACACTTTATGTCATTGACAAGTTTGACTACAGCTAAAAGAAGGATGTGTAGATATGTGGAGAGCAGGGGTTGGCAAAAAGGGCCCATGGGGGCCTACTTGCCTGGCTACAGCCTCCCCACAATACTAATACTACTACTACTACTACTACTTGACTACAGCTACAGCAAGCTGAATGCAGTTTATCCAGTTGCAGTTTGTTTTCCCACAGTTTGAAGTTCGTATTATATAACCTAGATGTCGCCCACTTCGTGAATCTCGCGAATAAATCAAAAATATCAGTATATATTCGCGGGAATCAATGTCACCAGGTGGCGCTCGGTTTTCATCGTTCCATGTCAAAGCCACGTCAAAACTGGGGGAAAACAAACTCAAGCCTCACTCAATCCCATTAGTGCCATTAGCTTGTGTACTGTGTACTGATAAGAGTAATAACACTTTATGTCATTGACAAGTTTGACAACTACAGCTACAGCAAGATGTATGCAATGTAGTCTATGCACTTTATCCATAGACAATAGTTTGTTTTCTCCCAGTTTGAAGTTCGAATTATGTAACCTAGATGTCGCCCACTTCGTGAATCTCGCGAATAACGAAAGAATCTCGATTCAATAACATAATCAGGTTTTTAATATACTTAGTTCGAAAAAAATCTAGATTTTTTGCAATCGTCACTCGAACCCAACTCACCCTATCGTAGGGCAAGTAATTCTCCCTGCACACCAGCGTGATCTTGCCTTTGAACCCCTCTTGGCGCAGCACCTCCACGCAAGTGCCCCCGGAAGGGCCTCCACCTACCACGACCACGTGATCCGTCGCGCCAGCGTCGCGCTTAGCCATGACCTTGACGCGCTTGTTGGCCTTGAGTTCGCTCCTGAGAGCGCGAACCCGCACGTTGTCCGAATCGATAGTGACCTTGTAGCAGGGCAGTGAGTCCTGACCTGGAATTTTTGGCGTTTTGATGTTCTTTCATTGCAAATTTCGATTGGTTTTTTATTTCTCCCGATTTGTTCATTGAACGAATAATTTTTTTGTTATGTACGATTATTCAGATTAAACAGGAGAAATTCGTGTAAACTGAAAACAACAGTGGTTCAGGAATAGGACCTTGTGATACACCTATGTGCTTCTTCTCGTCGGGACCACAATTGGCTATGACCTTGATACGAGTAGTGGCCTTGAGTTCGCCTAAGATTCAAGGGTAACCTTCTAACAGGGCAGTTAGCCTTGAATTTTGGTGTTTTGACGTTCCCTCATTATATATTTAACTTGTTTACTATTGGATTGTATATTGTATGAATTCTTCTTCTTTCATGCCCGATTATACAGATTCACATATATAATTTAATAAATTGAAAACAACAGTGGCCCAAGAGTTAACCTTGTGGTACACCCATTTTGATGAGTTTCCCTTCTACCACAACCACGTGATCCTTCGCCAGGGTCGCACTTAGCCATGACCTTGACGCGCTTGTTGGCCTTGAGTTCGTTCCTTAGGGCAAGAAACCGCAAATTGCTTGAGTCGATGGTGACTTTGATGTAGCAGGGCAGCGAGTCCAGACCTGGAATTTTGGCGTTCCGACGTTCGTTTTGAATGTGAAAAATAAAAGTATTTTTCAGATTCTACGGAGTCATCTACTGAATGAATTATTTTTTGTTATGTACGGTTATGCAGATGCACTGAACATAATTCTCTCATGAATTGGAAGCAACAGTGGCCCAAGAACTGGATCTTGTGGTAACCCACGTGCCTTTATTCGCCGGGGTTATACTTGGCCATGACCTCGACAAGCTTGTTGGCCTTGAGTTCGCATCAAATTCGATGGTGACTTTGTCTGGAATTTTCGCGTTTTGTGGTTTAGGCCTCCTCTTATTGTATATTCAATTTGTTTTACAGTGCTGTTGATTTGTATAGTGAATTGATTATTCTCTTGTTATGCAGATTTACAGATATAATTCTATGAATTGGGAACAACAGTGGTCCAAGAGATAGACCTTGTGGTACACCCACTTTGATGAGTTTATCTTCCACCACGTCCACGTGATCCTTGGCGCCAGGGTCGCGCTTAGCCATGACCTTGACCCGCTTATTGGCCAGAAGTTCGCTCCGGAATGTGCAAACCCGCACATTTCCCGAGTCGATAGTAACCTTGTAGCAGGGCAGTGAGTCCTGACCTGGAATTTTGGCGTTTCGACGTTTCAAAGTGCTTTTATAGCAAAATTTAATTCGTTCATTTCATTTGTTTTTTCGTTCAATTGATTCATTCATTCTGTTCGAGATTCTGTTATACACAAGTGTAAATTGAAAACAAAAGTGGTCCAAGAATTGAACTTTGTGATACATCCTCGGATACATCCATCTTGACAAGCCCTGTCGCCTACTGTGACCACGTCAAGGACCATGTGTTCCTTCTTGCCAGGGTCATGCTTGGCCATGACCTTGACACACTTGTTGCCCATTTCTGTTTTCAGTTCTAAAGATTTGTTTCTTAAATAATTTCTCATTTTATTATGAAGCTTTACGGATAAAATTCATAACTATAAAATCTCATATAAAACAATAGTGGTCCAAGAATTGAACTCTGAATATATAAATAAGTTTAAATTCAAATCTGGATACTCTTTAGAGCACTTTAGAGTCTTTTAGTCAACTGTAGTCCACTCTTCTTGTACAGGGACATGCAAATTACCCAACAAACCATACATTTTATAAGTTCTATGATTAGATCTGAGAATGCAGGCTTACAGAGGTTTTATCACATTATTTCTCTTATTTGATTGGAAAAAATTGAAGTTTTATAGATTAACTCATCTTGCTCTTGTGGATATAATTTATTGTGTTGAGGAAATACATTAATGGCCCAAAATTTGATCCTTGAAGTCCTATACCCTTCTAAAGAATTCTATTTTGATCATGTATATTTGAATTCACCTTGAAATTGGAATAATATTCTTACATTTCTTATTCATTGGATTGATTATACTTTTTATAAATTCATTTATCCAATAATTTCTTCTTGTATGGGTTTACAGATATATATACCTAATGTATGTAGAGAACACAAAATAGTTAGTTCAATATTGAAGTACAACCTTGCTAATGACTTTGAATAATAATAATCACCTATACTTAGATCTGGTAGAGGTACTGGAGGTAGGTACTATTTTTTCTTTGCCTTGTAGATTTTTATGGTTTACATGCCAACACCAAACCATTAGTTGTATGCTGAGTTTAAGCTAATGTTGGATCATGACCTCTAGTGTTTTTTTAAATCCCCAATTTTCTTTTGAATGGCATTATATTCATTATTGAATCATTACTCAGTATATTAAAAAAATCCAGCAAAAAATAGTTTCTTCATTTGTGCAGTTTACATAAATTGGGAAATTTTGATAGCTCTTCAAAGACATAGCTTATAGTTTGATGATTATCTACACTGAAAAATATCCTATTTCATAATATTGTGCTATGTAGGATTTGATCCTTGAGGTACTCACACCACAATAATTTCAAAACCAAGATCTGTTAGTCTTCTCCTTGCAGCTGTTGGGCCAATACAGGTCAGCAAACCATAAATTAAACAAGCTTGAAGTAAACTTAGCATCTATTCTTACCTGGGAAATCTTCGATATCGCCTGTGGCAATGTTGAAACAAGCCCCATGCCACTGGCATCTCACCCTTCCGTCCCCCAAAGCACTACTAACCAAAGGGGCCCCATAATGCGTGCACTTGGTACCCAGGGCACTGATCTTCCCATTCTGCTTCACCAACAGGACTTTTCCTTCATCCAAGTCAAAGGTTTTCAGTTCATTGTCTTTGATATCATCCACTTTGCAGACCACATCCTCTACGTAGTCTTCAGGTGCCGCTGGGGCTGTGCTTAGTCCTAGAAAGTTTTTCAACAGTGGTAAAGATCTCAGGAAATTGTTGGTTGCTGATAACATTTTGATAAAGTCCAGCAGCTTTTAATCGATGCCAGGACAATGCGCGATCGTATGAATGAGTAAGTGAAGTGGCAGTCCTACTAGACTGTTTATTTTGAGCAATTGAACAATTTCCAAGGACATTTTGTACCTCCTTCCTCCTTCAATTTGTCGCGAGAGCGATTTGATCATGATATCAACGGTATGATTACCTGCCATATCGCTAAGTCATGAATGTTTACTTGTCGTCTTAAACATAGGATAGGTACTTCAAATAGTTCAAATTCCCCTTTGATCATACTCCGAAAACGAAAACATCTCAAGCACTAACTGGATTGAGGTTATGTATCCTTTTTTGACGTTCAGAAGGCCTCTACAGCTGTTTACTTTACACTGTTTTTGGTTTTGCATTATGTTTACTAACCTTGTTTTTGGATTAGATCTAATTTTGAAGTTGAACAGCCCATTTTCAATGCTAAAAATCTTTTTTTAGGCCAATTGTTGAGGTATCGAACAAGAAGAGACTGTTTAGAGGTGATTAATAAACTTTCTAATGATTGTAAACCTTGCCACATGGATTTCCCAATCATTTCAATTTCCGATTAGATCTGGGTTTAGGAGGTTTATTTCATCAATATATAGAATAGAGTATAGGTATATAAAACAGGTATTTGATTAAGGATTTTCGCAAGGTCAATATCCGATGTGCCGACTTTGGTCAGATACAGATAGCAACTAAACTAAAGGAAAACGATGAGCATGACTTGTGGAATATTATTTCTTCAAACAGGCAAACAATATCTTATTTTCATGCATTTTGAAAACTTTAAATGTCTAACGAAATAAGAAAAAACAATCGAATTATAACATCACAAGAATAAATGGAATGTATAAATAGGCATAGATTAAATCAAAATTATGTTTTCAAAAATGTTCCCTAATCTAGTAATATTGAACATTTCTTCTTATCAATTGAAATTAACTGAAATCAGTGAATTCAATAATTCAAATAAAACCACCAACCAACACCAAATCGGCAAGCTACCAAACTAATCGAAATACCTTACGAAATACACATACGAACATGGCGGTTTTGCGGATTTCTTCATATATCCGCAGATCAATGTCCGCAGAAGTTCTAATACTGAACGTCAGATGTCGAGAGAAAACATAGAGAGCTTTGCTAGAGTTTTAAGAAGATGACACTAGTGTCATTTTTTTTTTTGATTTAACATACCATACCTAAGATAACATACCTAAACCATAGATTAGGAGTCGTTAATCTATGCCTAAACCAAAAAGCTGAACAACACAGTTTCAGTTGTAGTAATAGTAACTATACTTTAGAATTTTCGGGTTATACATCGCCAGATAGCACAAGTACATTCATAGAATATTCATAGAAGCATATTTGAATGATTTCAGGATTTTTCCACAATACTTACACTTTTAAAATTTTAATATTCTATGCATGCACATTGTATAGACCTCCAATGTGGACTGAATTTGACATTCTCGGAATATTCTTGAGATGCTCTATGAGTTCATTATCAGAATATTTATAGAGCTATCATTATTCAAATATTCTTTTAGAATATATATTATGCAGGATGTCTGTGAAAGGTCTTTACAAAAACATACCACATATTCCCTAGACCAAAATAAGTCGATTTAAGTAAAATTACCTCAGTACAAAGTTGCATCAATTGGGCTCCAGAGAGCCTTGAAGATACAATTTTCAAATTGTTTTTCCCATATAAATTTAAAACGGAATATGCGATTTTGCTGAAATTTGGTATATTGATAGAGTTTTATGAGGCGAAAAAAATGGTGTTGAAATTTTGGATGATAATAATACATGGGCGTAGAACTTTATTTTTTTAATAATTGCACCTTTAAAAATTCTACGCCAATGGAAGAAAAGGTACTCTTGATAAGACTTGATTGCTCTCATGGTTTTGACGAAATTTGCATTTTTTTACCACTGAGCTACGCACCTTTTTAATGATTTTTTTTTATCGCTTGGATAACAAGACACTTATAGTAGGATAACACGGAGACAGCCCCTATAATAATAGGTTGTGTCAGGCGGGAACCCTTTATGTATATTGATACAAAGATAGTAACATCAATATCATAATTGTATACGATTCTTAAAATTCTCAGAATATTCGAAAAAAAAATACGTTGAGAATATGTCGAAATGAATGCTCACAGAATATTGGTTGCTAGATGAAATTATTGTATGATCATTCTAAGTACATTCTATCAGAATATTCCGAAATAGGTATAGGTATTTGAACATTGTCATATTCTAGAACGTTCCATTTCAGAAGTTCATAGGAATAACGTATTCCTAGAATATGATCAGAATATCCACAAGGAATATTCCATGAATGTACACAATATTCTGGAATGTACCTTTATATTATTATTAGAATATTCGCATGGAACATTTCATGAATATTTGCAACATTCTAAGAACGTTCTATGAATATTCTTTAGAATATTCTACAAGATGACATTTCCGCAGCTTGTAAGAATATTCCGAGAATATTCGTGCTATCTGAGAGATAACTTGTTGCATAATTAATTAAGTGTCTATTTAACATATAATTGACCTGACTGAATAGCACGAGTAGAATGTGTCCCGGCGTGTTCGCCAAAACTTAGAACCTAACAATCTTAGTAATAAAGAAATTTTGTAGTGTTCGCCAAAACTTTGAATCTAACGATATTAACAATGTTCTTTTTGGGGACCAGAAATATGATCAATTTTCGTTAAACCGGACCTGGATTTTGCTCATGACTGATACCCTAACGACACAAGTACATCCTAGGGACTCCACAGGGACGTCCCTAATTTTATACTAGGACATCCCAGAGATATATCCTTTGCCGGGACGTTCCAGGGACATCCGCTTTCAGACAAAAAGGACTTATATACTTATAATAGGGTACCAAATTTTTCCAAAAATTATATTTCAATAGAAAATACCCTTTTTTCAACATATACTTGTGATGTTATTCAAAATATGAGAGGAACAACACAATTTTGAAAAATATTTTGATAGGTACTCTATTAAGAAAAAGTACTATTCCTTTACGCAGCAGACTTTTAATATCGATTTATCTCAAAAATGGTGAGTGCTATCAAAACTAAACAGGAGTATTAGTTTTAGGTAAAAACTATGATATTTTCATATTTCCTGATTGAACTGCCGAAAATGACATTGAATTAGTATAAACAGTGTTAAAACTGCATTTATCATGCGATGGGTTTTTTTTCGAACATTTTTTTGGTACTTATTTTTGTCTGGAAAACACGAATTTGATAATGAAAATGTGAACAAACCATTATTTATTGAGATATTCCACTATAAAGTTACAAATTTCATCTTTATTTCCGCTTGTCTTCTGGATCGCAATTTTTTTTATGTTCTGGTTCCCACGAAAAAGGGATATCCTGTAATGAGTGTAATGTTTAGAGAGCATCGTGAGGACCTAGAGAAATAAGGTAGGAATTGGTGTTCTTCTTGAATTTCTGGAGGTTATATTTAGAACAATTTGCCCTTATTTTTTCATCATTGGACAATTTATATATATATCACAATGTACGATACATTTTTTTCTATTTTATGAGTCAACTAGAAATATGATTTTCTTGTGATTTATCCATATTTAGTGAAAAGAAGGAAGAATATCATTTAAAATAATGTCATGTGTAATGTCATTCAAAAGCAATCTGTTGACATTTGACATCTCGTATTTGGAATGATTGATTAAATGGCCGTCATCTGGTATGCTTGTTCACTAAATATGAAAAACTCGCCATAAAAATCATACTTCCTGTTGAATTGTAAATGCTTTCAACACAAGGGGTAAAGCATGGCGAAATTTCGAACTTTTTCTTGGAATATCTCGATAAATAGTGGTTTGTTCACATTTTCATCATCAAATTCGTGCATGATAAATGCAGTTTTACCAAAACAATTTTACTTCAGTTCATTTCTTCAAGGTGGAATATTTATTGGTAGATAGAAATACCAATACTTTTGGTCCAACAAACAAAGAGATGCGAAATGGGCGAACTATTGGGTGGCTGCCTGCTGCTATTACCCCAGTTGCCACTATATGCCCCTGTATCATTGGCTGTTATCATCACGATCTATCCATTCACCTTCCATATCTACCTGTGGCGGCACTAAGAGTTTATTTACCTTTGGTCAGGTGGCATTTCCGACACTAAATTCCTTTTATTCTTGACATTTCTGCTTAGCGCCACCGTCTACAAGGAGCCTCTCGAGAAAAGTTTGTGGCTCACAGGTTATTGACATTTTTATTGCCAGAATAACCATGGGCGTGCGCTTCTATTATACCGGGTGGCACAGAAGACGAATGGTTCTTCTCTGGATGGAATCCAAGAGCATCAGCGTATGTTTGTTTGGGTGGAATAGTTATTTATAAGTGAGGATTGCTGGGCTGTGTGCACGTGAATATATACCAAAGAAGGGAAGATTTGTATTATTTCGTGCAAGATAATTTATTCAATATTCGTAGCAGAACGCTTTCGACTGTTGAGTCATAAGTGCGTAGGTACTCATCAGGTTAACAGGAAAATTCGTCCATAAAAATATCTTTGGTCCAATTTAAAACTAACGACATTAAGGTAAAATACGTTACAAAAAAATTAAAAAGTGTTTACCAAAAGGGGGTAAAATATGGATTACATTTTGTTAAGCAGCCATTTCGCTGCGACATGTCGTGTTGAAGTGAACTTGATGAGTTTTAAACTGGACCAAAGATATTTTTATGGACGAATTCCCCTGTTAACCTGACGAATACGCTCTGATGATGACTTATTAACAGTCGAAAGCGTTCTTCTACGAATATTGAATAAATTTTCTTGCACGAAATACAAATCTTACCTTCTTTGGTAGTTATTTATACACCAAGGTAGTAAAGAATATCATCATTACCCAGGAACCAAGGTATACGGTCTCGTGGTATGTATACCTTACGAGAGGTCCTTCAGCTTATGAGTGTTCTGTGTAGGCTTTGTTACTAACTTCATACGCCATCTTAGGAGCAGCACTGTTAATTGGAACGCAACAGCGAATCGTGCGGAATCATCTCCGATCGAGGCTACGGAAATTATAATTCATAAATCGTATTATAACAATAAGAATTCTCTGCTCTCCCAGGGATCCGAAATAATATTGATGGCTTTCTATTTCTGCATCTCTTTGAAGAAGACTGATAACAGGGCAATTGGCCTATAGTTGTTGGGCAGGCTCTCGTTTTCTTTTTTGGGGATTGGTGCTCTAGCTATTTTCCAACAAGATGGAAAAATATTCGACGAAATGGCTCAGTAAACAAAAACATCCCTGGGATTTCACATTTATGTCTCGCTAGGTCACAATGCGAATTACAAGAAAACATCATTGGTATTGCCAGGGGACTCTTTATTTCACAAATCATTCGCAATATTCGTCACATTTTTTTGGATTTGTGACCTAAAATCTAGATGAGTTTGTGAAGCTCCCGGGTAAATAACTTGCGAGGAACATTGGTGTGAATTCTGGTGGACAGTTTTTGAGAATAATGAGTGGAATTCCATCAGAACCGTCCATATGACCATATATTTTGTTGATGGAATTGATATTATATTGTTAATTCAATTAAACTACAATCTTGTTTTGAACAAGCTGCTTCTCTGAAATGATCGAATGTATCTGTTTGATTCAACAAAGATTTGCTCAGTTCAACAAAAATAATTAATTGATGCAACAAATCCTTTTTTTATCTCTGTAGGTTCATGCCTATTGCAACTGCGGCTGTTATAATATATAATGTGTAGCTGAACACATTGTTCAATCACAATCATGCATAACACACATATTGATAACCTCAAAAATTAGTTATGCAAGTTAATAATGTTAGAAAATTAGATGTCTATGAAAGCTTAGAGGTATTCAAGAATAGCAATAGAGTAATGAATAAGGATAATTGACCTATCCCAGTTAGCCCTCTGTATAGTTTAGTAATATAACATGTGAACTCAACCATGAATACATTAACTTCGCGGTTATTGTCTATTGGGTGGACATATACACCTAAAAGGTAAGTAGCCCACTAGGATAGATCATTTAGTTTCAATCTCCTCCTGAAGATGCTGTAACATAGTTAGCGAAACACGTGTCGAGGTGTAAAAAATCGCTTTGGTTAGTGGTAAAACAGTGTGTAGCGTGCCAAAGGTTCCAGTTTTCGATATATAATAATAATAATAATTAGGGGAATTTTCTGTATTGAAAAAACATGTCTTTCGCTTATTTGCAGTCTAGAATTCTAGAAAACGAAACCAGCTCCACCAAAATCGCAAGAGGATCCCCACCAATCCCATTTTGGCCCCCCTGGCTTGGAGCTCACGTAAGTTCTTCGACGCCAAACGGCTTTATTTTATTCATTCTTGTGCCAGCCATCGGCTCATAAAGGCCGCAAACAGCGCCGAATCACGTGCTTCGCTCCGACAAAGCCAATTTCGTCTGCATTTCATTTTCACCCCGTTTTGAAATAAATCTAGTCGGTCGTTTGACTTGCGCGCGGCACTGTCGAAACATTTGAATATCGCGATACCTGTCAATTTCGCTTTCTTCTCGCTTTTTTGTCAGCGTTCGCGTTGTCATTTGTTGTTTGTAATTGGGCAAGATTTGGGCAAAATGTGGGCAATTTTCGCGATTTGTTTCGTGTTTTTTGTCGATGGGGTTCGGTGCGGTAGCTGCAGGGAAGCGAAACTTTGTTGTACCGGTCGAGACTCTTCCTGTGTCGTTCAAAAAGCGCCGATGAATGCAATAATCGAAGATTTGAGCGATAAACCGTGTTACTGCGACCATGCTTGCTTGAAACTGGGAGATTGCTGTGGAGATTTCAAGGAAGCTTGTGGAGGTAAGAATTTTCGTTATAAACTTCTAGACTCACAAATAATCACGATTTTTTTCAAATGTAAAAATATTGATTCTTTTGATCAAATCATATTTTTGGTAATTTTGCACTTATCATGCGATGGGTTTTTTTTTCGAAAATTTTTTTTGGTACTTACGTATTTTTGTCTGAAAAACACGAATTTGATAATGAAAATGTGAACAAACCATTATTTATTGAGATATTTCACTATAAAGTTACAAATTTCACCTTCTTTTCCGCCTGTCTTTGGGGCGCATTTAGAACCCTTCTTCTTTTTCTATTATTGGACAATTTATATATATCACACAATGTTGGACACATATTTTTTATTATATGAGTCAACTAGAAATATGATTTTCTTGTGATTTATCCATGTTTAGTGAAAAGAAGGAAGAATATCATTTGAAATAATGGCGTGTGTGATGCACGAGTGTGATGTCATTCCAAAGCAATCTATTGACATTTGACATCTTCTATTTGGATTACCCATCGATTAAATCGCGGTCATCTGGTATGCTTGCTCACTAAATAGGAAAAACTCACCATAAAAATCATATTTCCTGTTGAATTTTCTAGCTTAAAATGTGTCATTGAAGTACATCATGAGTTTATGAAGTGTCCAATGACAAAATAAAAAGAGCATCAAGTACCTGTAAATGCATCCAACGCAAGAAGGAAAATAAGGCAAAATTTCGAACTTTTTCTTGAAATATCTCGATAAATAGTGGTTTGTTCACATTTTCAATATCAAATTCGTGTTTTTCAGACAAAAATACGTAAGTACCAAAAAAAATTTTCGAAAAAAAACCCATCGCATGATAAGTGCAAAATTACCATATTTTTTTTATCTGAGTACTTATACTGATTTTTTCCTCGTTTTTTCCTTAATATGAGAATAATGAACTTCAAAATCATCTATCCCCATTATTTCTCTCTATTTGCCAAACAATATTTGCACTATCTCAACAAATAGTGGTTTGTTCACATTTTCATTATCATATTCGTGTTTCTCTGACAAAAATACGTAAGTAGCGAAAAGAAAAAAAATTGAAAAAACAAAAAAACATCGCCTGATTGGTGCAAAATTATCATGAAAATTTTCGGGAGCGTGCCACGGCTTTCCTGTCGGAAGAAGAAAATGTGTTATACAATTATTTATTGTATGTAAACCAGAATGAGCTATCTTTCTTTCTCTTCTTGAATTTCCTGATGAGTTATCTGCTTCGGTGACTTGTTTTTTACAGCAATTCATAATTTGATTTAAATCACAATGTAGATTGAAAAAAAAATTTGCGATTTGATATTGAGATAAGAATTATGCCATCCGATACCAATTGAATGGTAGATCTCAAAAACATAACTGTGCTACCCGCCTCTATCTGAGCCAATTCCTTATGGCACAGCGATTTTTTTGCTGTCCTTTTTCTGGACATATTTCCGTCATGTTGATAACGAGTTGTAACAAAAAGCAATTGAAAGGAAAAAACGTCCCTTTTCCGAATATCCAAACGTGCCTCGATTCAAACTGACCTAAGTTAGTGTCAGAGCGTCAATATTTCCGTGAATATTTCGCCCTCGTCGAAAGATGATATCCGATGGACCAGTGTGAAACTCCATGTGTAGCTCACACTACAAGTATTCTAATCCACATGTTGAAATAATATTCTGATTGACAATGACTTTGGGTGAACAAAAAATGATGGATTATTTGGACTAGGAAATTGAAAAGAACTTGGAGAAAAAATTATATGTTTCACATGGCAGAAAAGAAGATGTAATGCCTTGTCTGGTTTCCTAGCCTCGGATAAGCCTAGCTAGGCTATGAAACGCCGCGGCATTAAATCTAGTACTTTTCTGCCGTTTTCTGCCTAGTAAAACAAACAACTATTTTACATGTCTTTGTATATATATATATACAGTGTGTCCACCTTAAAGACTTACCACCCCTGTAAAATCGTTATTATCCGACCAATTTCAAAAAACCTTTTTTTGTTGGATAGGTATTTGAAATGCCCATCCAACGAGAGAGTGATCTAATTCTTGGACTGTTATCGTGGCCAACTGCGACAAGTTTCAATGACCCATATTCCAGAAAGTACTATTAGGGATTTTTTTCCACTAAAATTGATGATGGATTCTGAATCAGTACCACTTGAAATATACCTGTACCGATTTTCATCATCATAAAGCACAGGGTTTCCGAAAAAACGAATCATCATTTTCTTCAGATAGGTGATCAGCAAATATAGTTCTGTGGTTCTTCTAGAAAGAAATAATCACAGATTATCATTGAGAATTATTTCAAATATACCTGTACCAATTTTCGTCATTTGAATATACAATGTGTCTGAGAAAAAAATTAAAAAGGATAGGTAAGCAATATTTTTCATCCTGATAATTCTTCACTCAAAATAAAAAGATGAATCAGGATTGAACATACCTGTACCGATTTTCAACATCATTAAACACAGGGTGTTCGAAAAATCAAATTAATATTTTTTTTGAGCTGATGAAAAAATATCGCCTACTTTTTCTTTTTAATTGTTTTCTCATACACATCGTATTTTTGAATGATGAAAATCGGTCCAGATATGTTCAAAGTGATCCTCAATAATAATGTGTCATCAATTCTTCTCAAAAATACCACAATACTACATTTTCTGATCACCTATTCAAAAAAAAACATAATTCGTTTTTTCGGACACCCTGTGTTTTATGATGATTAAAATCAGTAAAGGTGTTTTTCAAGTGATCGTGATTCAGAATTCATCATTGTTTTTTGTGAAAAAAAATCCCTAATAGTACTTTCTCAAATATGGGTCAATAAAGTTGGTCGCAGTTGGCCACGATTACAGTTCATGAGTAAAATCATTCTCTTGTTGGATGGATATTTCAAATACCTATCCAACAAAAAAAAGGTATTTGAAATCGGTCAGATAATAACAATTTTACAGGGGTGGTAAGTCCTTAAGGTGGACACACTGTATATATATTTATTATATATATTATTATATCATTTCGTTATCAGATGACGGTCAAAATTTGCAGCTGGCCATTGGACTATTAAGGGCTATCCGGCAAAATTTAGAGATTTTTGAGTTTGACACATTGACATCATGTTTTAGTAGCGCCAACTGATGAGAGTGAAAATGCTAGCCCCGAGGCTAGCCCCATAGACCTAATAGGTCTATGGTTAGCCCTTATTGTTTGACGCATGACGCATGACTTGTTAGAGAAATATAGTCTGGATAGGAAGGTCGTTCGTAGGATATCTCCGCACGAATGTTGATGTGTTAATGAATTCCATCGGATTAGGGACACCCTAATCCCAGAGCTAATGCTAATCCCTAATAGGGTGACTAGAGTATCGCACTGCGAAACGATTAACACATCCCTACACTAAACAAATTAGTCACCTGACAAATTACTATAGGTACGTCTGAACAATGCCATTATCGGAATATCAGAAACTATACGGCATTACGTATTATGACAGTATGGCGGGAGATGATGAACACGAGTGAATATAGGATTGAATTAATCATCTTCGTTCTGAGTAGGTGTCATACTCGGTTTCATATAGCGATAATAATGAATGACGTATACCAGGTACCGGGTGTTATATCAGAACCCACACAGATATGAAGTTTCATTGAATTTTTTGTCACATCAGTAGATGGCCAAAATGATATCGTGACCAGACGTCATCAGACGTCATATATCGCGAATAGGTTAAAGGTCACAGCCCAATGACGTGATATTACTCAAGTTGTTACGTCAGTCATTGACCTCCCAGGTACCACGGTGACGTCGCAATTATGTCGAAATGACGTCGACATGACATCAAAATGACGTCGAAATTTGTTCATGAGCCGTTAAACAGATGATATTGCATTTTTTATCAAATACGATTCGTATGCAATGAAAAATAACTGATAATTCCATTGAACTAGTTAATATTCGAGAACTCGTTAATATTATAAGTACTAAAGATAATTTTGTGAATGCATTGAACTTAACCCCTAAGAATGCTCAATGTGGACTATCAAAAGTCATTGAAGAAATAAAATTTGTTAGAATCTTCGAAGGTATTTTGGTCCACTTGAAAACGTCCCATTGATTTGAAATTTGCCAGGTTAACATAATTCTGATGGTGACAATGCATCATGCAATTTTTGTTAGACATAACACAAAATGGCGGCTCCAAAATGGTGAACCACTAAATGGGACATGCACCCTGCATGTTATTCCATAATCGGTTATGAAGTATTTCAATACTAAACATACTGGTGCATGTGCATATACATATTTTTATCTGAAGGAGAATAAATATTGTTCAATGTTCGTCATGGCATATAGCCAGGAAAGTAGTTGTTCTCTGTTGAATGAACCGAGAAAGAATTGATCTTTTCATCACATAGAGAATGCGAATTCTCAATGTATTTCTTTATATATCTATATTCATTCTTCCATGTTCATAATTTATCTGAGAATATTCCTTTCTGAAATACATAAAACGAGAAGAAGAAGTTTCATTATCGCAATGTAACACATCTAGGAACATCTAATTCACTGTCTTTCCTGGGAGATTTACTATGGCCGGCAGTTTTATCGCTGCACCACATCTCTCTCTAGCAATTCTCTAATTTACCTTGTAATCGGCAATAAATCCCAACTCTGATAATGTATCTCTCTTTTATATCCCGTTTTCTCTAGCTAAATCATGTTATCACTTAGGTCGTTTTATATAATTTGGCACCCACACCAAACAAACATTATAAAAGTTGATATATAAAAAACTTTGATAAAAAATAAATACTTGTTTATAAAACTAAAGAAACACGCTTTCAGCAACACACTTTTATTATTTCATTTCCTACTTCTTTTCGGTTTGGTTTCCTATAAAAGCGTGTTACTTTAGTTTTTCAAACTACTATTTATTTTCTCTTCTTCAGTTCGGCTAACTACGAAAGCTTGTATTT